CAATATCTGTGTATACGCCATTTCTCCTTTTCTGTATTAAGAGTTTGTAGATATTTATCCCTTTCTTCTAACTGCATGCATGGGGAAATATATCTATTCTGTAGATATTAAGATTGATTTTATACCAAAGACTACATCCCTGTAGAGAGATAGAAGTCTAACGTTAATATATGTTTAGCAACGCAACTCCAGAAATGCAATAAAAGTTAAAACCTCCCCTACTGGTTTTTTAATTATGATATTAGATCAGAAAGCAGGAGGATGGGAATTAATGGGCTTTAACAATTTTGTGTAAAAATGTCCTTATTTTTATGTAAAAAACATGGGTAGTCAAAAAGACACCATGCTGTTCGCCTTCATCTCCCTTCGTCTAATTTTGTTTGCTTTGTTGATAAACATGCATGCCCCTTCTGATGCTGTTTTTATCAGGGTAAAATATTGGCAATATTACTATCTGCGAGATTGTATCATTTTTCTTGCCTATGTTTGTATAATGCTCTTTCCCCAGCAGGTGTAATTTTAAAACCTGAAGGTTTTCTCTGTGACTCTACGGGCTCCTCTGTGTTTTATTCTTTGCTGCTTCTGGTGGTTTTGTGGGGTTTTAAGAAAAAATACCTCCCGGGGCAGAAAAATATCTCGAGAACTTAGTAGGAGCTTGTAAATTCGTAACAGAGAGGCTTGAGTTTACTGATAGGCGCCTCCATTTTGTTGCTGTTCCAAGAAGAAGGGGGATAATAAATATATTATCTGTTTATTCTCTGCTTGTTTCAATTAGCCCTTCGCCTCGCCTGAGCTTGGGAAATGGCAAAGCAAGTTTGGCTTTCAGTAAGACGCATGGCTCTGGTATCTTTTTTTCTTGGGGGGGGGGAATCAACTTTGGAACGGACATCTAGAATTTTCTGCGGGCTCTCAAGTCCTTCTGCTAAAGGCTGGGAAGCGTAGGTATTTGGGGGTCTCCCATAGTCACCGTGTTATTTCGCTAGCTCGAGGGGTGTGCCAGATGATCTTTACAAATGATTAACAGGATCAAACCGAAGCTATCCGTGCGCGAGGGGGAGATGCGGTGCTGGAGGTTTGGGGTTTAGGGGTTGGTATTTTTTTAAAGAAAGGTCACTGTTTTGAAGCCCTAGCCAGGTTAAGAAGTAGGTTGGTCTGCACAAGGCAGGTATAATTAAACAGGGCCTAGAACTGGCGTGGTTTGCATTCACATGTAAGCAATCGCCTACAGCTCCGACACCCCCTCTCCATTTTTTATAAACAGAGTGAAGTTATTATCCTAGTTCTGTGCGTGATTGTCAACCCATAACACCTTGGATTTCCTTTTTTGCTAGTTTGAGTGCAACCGTGCAGCCTAAACCATAGAATCAGCAGACAAAAGTTGCTGCTTGGAACTATAGTTAGTTATGCTAATTACAGGGTGTCTGACAGAAACATAACAAATGTACAGGGGGACGTATAGAAATATGTTTCTGCGGGCAGTATACAGTTTTCCTCCTTGGCTTGTTTTCCTGCTGTTCTTTTAATTTACTTCTTTTGGAAATGTTCCCCTTTTGTTGACCTGTGCTTCATATCACACACCCCAAACCCAGATAACCTGACATGCCTTGGAAATTAGCACTTAGTGTAATTTAAAGATTTTTCCTCCTCTTTCCATTGCTCTAGACAAATTTCTCTCTGTGAAGGTTTCTAATGGGATGTGTCTAGTAGAAACCTGAAATGTTGGAAAGACAGCATAACACAGTTAAGGTAATTTGGTCTTGGGCTTTAATTGCACTTCGGAATTTATTGTCTATTACCCCCACCTTCTGACACTAAGGAGTCTGGAATCCAAAGTCATAACTCGCAACCAAATTCTTAGCAACAAAGCGGGTGTGTGTGTGTGTCTGTCTGTGTGTAGGAGCACTTAAACAGGTAAAAACTCTTCTAGAGTCATTTTGAATCGGAATGCTCATTTTCTTTACCTGTTCCCTTTTCCTCTTTTCATTTAGGGTTAAAATTAAATATTCCCTCCACAGAAAAGCACTTTTTAGACAAGTGTCCTCAACAATACGTTGTTTTGAAGGTATTTTCCACCCAGCAGCTTAACCCTCCCCTCCCCTGAAGAAATATGATATGAAAGTAGCCAAAGAAATTTGGAAAACAAAACAGGAGCCAGCTGCATTGGGGTGGGATTCAGTTCGATGAAACTGGCCTTTCCTTTCCACTGACTGACTTTACAAAGGTGAATAAAATGAAAAATAAGAGACACGTAGATCATGGGATATTTCCCTCTAGCCTCGGGCTATGCGCTCTACATTCATGCAATCAAAGCCATTGTTCACTTTTTTTTCCATAAGAGAAAAGGGGGAGGGTATGGAAGAACAAAAGAAAGAAAAATTGGGGAGGCAGAAGAGAGGCGAAAAGAATGAAGGAAAAGGAAAAGATAACACGAGGAAGGGATGTGGTGTGTGTATGTGTGTGTGTGTGTGGGGGGGGGGTGTACTTTCTTTTGAGTAGGGATTAAAATCAACGCGATAGTCATTGCTCCAGGGTGCATTTGTGCTGTCTGCGTGGTTAGTTTCGTTTTCTTTATGAAGAGATAAGAAACCCGCACCGCAGGAGACGGCCGGGTGCGCGCGCGTGTCTGTGGAGGGGTTCCCGAGAAGAAGGGGAAAGTGGATTTTTTTTAATACGAACTTGACAGTGTTAATTGAACCAAGTGGAAGCGGGGAATGCGTTTTTGGAGTCGCTGTTTGTCTGCTTGTCAAGGGTGGAGTGTTGCCTGCTAACCTCAAGGCCCTCACTGGAGTTTGTCGATCAAACCCCCTTCTCCAATGTCTTCCTCCGGTCGCCAGTAGCCCAGAGAGCGTTGCTATTGCTATTTCAGGGCGCAAAGCCGGACAGCTGCCCCGGAGCCCCTGTGTGGAGAGTGGCCTTAGGGTCCCCCCTCCCGGCCTTGCATTGCGACAAGGAGGTGGGGAATTTCTTTCTTTCCAATTGCTGCTCGCTGGTTTGTAAAGTTGTGTGCAAATAACCGCAGCGTCAGGGAGCCGTGAAGGCTCGGACCTGGGTTGTGGTGTTTTTGTTTTTGTTTTTTTTTTTTTTTGCATCTCTTCTTTGGAAATCTGGGCAAAATGATGAAAGCGAAGCTAAGCAATGGAGGGGCAAAAGATTTGGGGTTCTGTGGCATCCAAACGGAGACACAATGGCTGGCTGCACACTACACGAAGTTATCAGATGCACGACAGACACAAGGGACCAAAGTGGGTGCAAATAATTTCGCTCCAAAAGGTGTCAAAACTAAATGTGTCAAGGCAGCGATCAATCAAATAAACAATGGCGTTCGCTTTCTTTAACGTCACAGTACCATATATATATATATATATTTCCCAAATGTGATACTGTTCATGATTTTTTTGGTTCACTACAAATAAGTTTTTTGGTTTTTTTTTTTTGCTTCCAAAATACTAAGGCGTGGAGGAGAAAGCAGTGTTAGGCAGCCCCCAGAAGAAATTATAACTTCCCATCAGTTCAGTAGAGGTTAACTTCCCCTGAACATCTAGCGGGGCATTTCTGGAAACACGATCATCGGAGTCTAGCGAGGACGGTCACAAATGTTGCAAGCCAACTTGGTTGGTCTTGAGTGGGCAGCGAATCGCTTTCTAATTCGAACGTTCCCCTCCGCTTCCAAAGCCTGTTCCCCAAAAGAAGCATATGTCACAGCGAGGGATTCAGGAAAACTCCTCGCAGAAGGTGTAACCTAGACAGAAGCATAACCGAGCCCTGTTTCACTTCGCTGCAGAGGGACGTTGTGCCAATGGCACCGCTAAATGTGCGGGTGCTGTTTCGCTCAGCCACGGTTTGATTTGATTCTGCTGGAAAACGAGCTCTCTCTGTGTTTTGAACTGGGGTAAATTCTCCAAGCAGGCTGCTCGTGGAGTGAAAGAGGCTGGGAAGGGCAAAGACAGAAGCATAACCGAGCCCTGTTTCACTTCGCTGCAGAGGGACGTTGTGCCAATGGCACCGCTAAATGTGCGGGTGCTGTTTCGCTCAGCCACGGTTTGATTTGATTCTGCTGGAAAACGAGCTCTCTCTGTGTTTTGAACTGGGGTAAATTCTCCAAGCAGGCTGCTCGTGGAGTGAAAGAGGCTGGGAAGGGCAAATAGGGAAAACAATTCTAGTGGATGGAGGTTTCCATGTCCATAAAAGAAATCTTGCCCTGCAATGTTTTCCTTTTGTATAACGCCAAAAATGCACCATTCACAACTAAATGGGTGATCTTGCCTGCTAGGGTTAAGGCTACAAGAACTGATTTCACTTATTTAAACCCTGTGTTTGTGTAATCCCTGCTCCTGAGGAATTTCATATCTTGGATATTTTGTCATTTTCCCTATAATTTTTCCACCAATCTTCCTTTGCGCTCCCTCCCCTCTCTCCTTCTGCATGTTTGTGCAGAGATACCCATTCTTTTGCAAAGCTCCATCTTCCAATCATTCATCCATGTACAAAAGACAAGATTCCTTTACACTTCTACGTTTTACCATCTCAGCACATTAGCAATCTTCCATACTGAGTATTTCACAAAAATGTTGAATAGAGAAAGAATAATGAGGACAATCCCCCCCCCAACATAAAAACAACCATCACTAGAGACTTTTGATTGACAAATAAATTGAACTCAATAGAGGCCAAAGGGGACATTAGACTCCTATAGGAATATTTCCCTTTAAGGACTCACATAAAGCATAGGGTTTTAAACGGACTGAGAAAAGGTTCTGGGAGTGGGCGAGAGGATGCCTTCAGATTCATAGACCCTGTCCGAATTGGGATTTTCATGCACACACAGAGAAATCCATTTCTACTTACAGTGGCCCCTTCTTAGAATTAAATACATTTCTAGCACACATTAGGCAGGCTTGCATATATTTATTGATACCTTTGGAAGGAAGGTGCAGTTTGAATCTTCGCTCAGCTGAAACATGGGCTGTAACTTTCTAGGGGCTGGGGGCTTTTTATTTTTTTTAAAAAAAGCAACGTCGTATATTAATCCACATGTGTCTGCTTCTTCTTCATGTTCGAATGTCCTATGTAACATGCTGGGGAGAGGGAAAGCTTTCATGTCAAGTGTGTTCATGAGCCATGCAGACACTGTCCATAGGGTAAGTCACTGGTGCAGCCTTCATCATCCACCGGGATATACCCTTCTCTTTCTCTAGCTCCTTGTCTGTCTGTCTCGCTCTGCGAGGAACCACATAAGCTTCCGACCCTTCACTTTTCTTGTTCTTGCAAAAATGTTGAGCCTTCACCTTCATCTCACTCTAGTGACTATGAAATTCGAAGGGATCAATAGCTCAGCCCAACACTAGTTAATCCACATTTTTTTAACTAAGTGGTTATTCTGTGTGAGATTCTCCTTCTCCTCCCCTTCCAGCGAAATCCTCTAACTCCATGCTTCCAGAATCCACTGGGCGTGATCTGTTTACCTACCTGCCTTTCTCTACAAAAGGAAGGTTATTTTCTTTCAAAATGCAGCCCGAATGTTAAGAATTAAAAAAGGGGGAAATCCAGCCAGACCCCGCACTATTTCAATCAATATGGCCAAAAAAAAGTTTCCATAGATTAAAAGAATACTAAGTGTCAAGTGTGCATTGTTGCTTGCTGTAAATAACCAGGTTTCTTCATTCTCAGCTACTCCTGATAGTTGAAACACACTCGTACAGTTTTATTTAATGAAAGACACATTTATGAACAATCAAATGATCCTCGTAAAAATTTTATTGAAGGACATAAAAACATCCACGGTTACTAGCCGAATAATTCAGAGAGAGTCTGCAAAGGCTATCTTTTTTTTTTGTTTGGGGTGGGAGGAGTGTTATTTTCCACTCATGTTTTTATAAGGTGACCTTTTTCTCTCCAGAAGATAGTTATTAAAAATAGGTATGCATATGACCGAGGGATTTCTTGCTTTTAAGCAGGGTTGATGACTATACTTCGCTATCACAGATGACCAAAAAAGTCCATTTATTTTTAGGCTAAGCCAGCCCAAAACCTGTTTCTTGCTTGGGTGGTGCAGACATAGGATTCCAGCCCAACTCTCACACTTTGAACCGACCCTTTTTTACTGATATTCCATTTAATGTATCCATTATAGAATACAAGCTGCAGAAGCAAAGGACAGAGACAAATTACGTCAAGAAATAGTTCCTGGAATACCTTACCCACATACCTTCTAGGCTCACTAGTAGCAGAGCATTTTTTATGCCAGGCATAGCGGGAGAGCCACCTTTGGCTAATGAAATGCAAGAGGCATTGCTTCTAATATCTGCATGATTTCGAGAGTTTTATGAAAAGCCAGGTCGCATAGTCGCTATTAGGGGGGAAAAAAAGACCTGCGGATTGATCCACACTGTATTTTTGGGTAAATACAATCACGTGAGAACTGCGAGCCAATAGGAAACTGGGAAAGACTGAAAAAATAATTACCTGCCCTGATTGTTCTATGAGAAGATAAAAAGTACACATGCAGTTCATACAATAATCTTATGAATGTAAAAGAGGGGGGAACATGTCGGCTTCTGGTCCCATAAGCAACTATTATGTAGATTCCTTGATAAGTCATGAAAATGAAGAGCTCTTGGCTTCTAGGTTCCCCGCCACAGGCTCCCACCCGGCAGCCGCGAGACCTTCTGGATTAGTACCGGACTGTGCCGATTTTCCATCCTGCAGTTTTGCCCCCAAACCGGCCGTTTTTACTACTTCCTGGGCGCCCGTGCATTCTCAGTCTTCCGTGGTTTACCATCCGTATACCCACCAGCCTCACATTGGGGCTGACACCAGGTATATGCGCACTTGGTTGGAACCCGTGTCTTTCCCTGGCTTCCCACCCAGCACCAGACATTACGGGCTGAAGCCGGACGCCTTCCCCGGCCGGAGGGCGGAATGCGGCCCGGTGGACGGTCGTAGTTATCCGGATTACATGTACGGATCCCCGGGTGATCTCAGAGACCGACCTCCGCAGACTATTCCCTCTCCGGAATCGGAGGCAGTGACTTCGAGCAAACACAAAGAAGAAAAGAACGAATTAGACCCTAGTAAGTTGAAGTAATTCTTGTTTACAACCGGGAAGGCATTACAGCCTCTGGTACAGTACTCAATAAAATGAAATTACCTTAGAGGGCCCTGTCCTAAAACTGAAGAGATCCAGGAAGACCCGGGTTGAAAAACCCTCCTAGTCTAACCTCAGGACAAAGTAGTTTCATTTTCATTGTATTTAAAAAACGAGAGAGTGCGGGAAGGAGGGGGGGATCGGTTTGTTCCTTCGGTAAAATATTCATAACCTCTCGGATCTTTCCACTCTCAGTCCAGAAGTCTTCCTTCTAGCTGAGCGTGAATTCAGTGGTAGGGGAGTGTGGGGAGAGACAGAGAGAGAGAGACAGATGCAGGGATCAACAGAAAGAGGTGTGGAGAGGACTTTAAAAATACCCACTCGTGTAAATAGGCACAAAATACTCCAAACATGAG